TTTAAAACACTTCTCTCTCTGCGACGTCTTTTAGTTTCGACCGTTCACAAATTGTACATTAGGGATTGTTTTTGCTCTTTCGCTAACATTGAAGTATCTACTTTGCTGATTTAAAACTTAATATTGTGTTTATTGTTAATATAAAAATGCAAGTGGTTCTCCGACGGAAATTATTAATTATGTTTCCTCAGGTTTCAAATCTACTCACTAATCTCTCCACACTTAAAAAAATACGCTGAGCGTTTTCTAATGTTAGTCACTTGAAAAAAAAGAAGCTAATTGATGTTCCTGCCAATTACGCTGATGCCTCCAGCTTTAAAAATAGCTAGCCATTAAGCTCCCTTAGCTCACTTTAATTGCAATAATTCCTCCAACATATTTGGAGCGTATAACGGTATTAACAAAATGTTTTTTCGGATAAAAAATCTCTTTTCACGAAGGTTCTGCGCAAATAGAACGTGGCCTTGCCGGCATTATATTTAATTTTTAATCAAATACGAGACCAAACAAACACACTGAAGGAAATTAGTACCATTTACGTACATACATGAATACGTTTAATTTGAAAACGTACTTTGAAAACGTATTTTATTTTAAAGTAGAATTGCAAACTTGTCTTAACAATGTTTAATTTGCACTAAACAATTAAATCGACAACTAAAATGCTATCATATCTAGTAATTTTGCTCATATATATCGCGTTTTAAACCTTTGAAGTGTTTTATTTAAATGTGTACTACTCGCGTAAACAGACAGTATTTAAAAACCACAAACTACAATTGTGAATTAATCGAAATATCATTATGGACATCTACGTCATTAAAAAAACACATTTTCATAAAACTGTTTCTAAGACACTTTCTCAGTCATAAAGTAAATTTTTTCCTTATAATGTTTTTAGACTGTTGTTAGTGTTGTCACTGGATTATTTGCGAGTGGGACTACTAAATAACCACAATATAATACGCCCATTGCTTCGAGCAACTTTTAAGAAAGCTTATGGGTCATGCAAGTCTTAACCAATATAGTCTCACGACGCAACAGAATGAAGCCTCTACCAGAAAAGTGACCAATTCATAGAACGTCAACAGATAATATCAGCATCTCTTTTAATGAAATGTATACTTTTTGAGTAGTTGAGTTTGAGTTTGAGATTGTTGTTTTCTTGTTGGATAATAAAACCTACGCCATGATTATTAACTGATAATGTTTTCTATTCTCAGTTTTGCGATCTTGGTTTGTAGACAATCATATTAAATCTTTTATAACCTTTAAGCCTAAAATACCGACCACCTTTGGCTTTTAACGGACTCTTTGGTGAAATGGTAGCAATATATAAATAATGCAAGGTTTATATCTATATAGATTTATAATTTTTCTAAAACATGTTCGACTTCCTCTAAAAAAACTGAATGTTAACTGGATGGTAGGAAAATCGAAATTCCGTCCAGGTCACGAACCATTGTCCACAGATAAAAAGTCTTAAAGTTATTCGTCGTTTCGGTTTCAATTTTTAAAAATCCGAATATCAAAGCCAAAAGGTCCCGAAACTTGTTTAAATGCCACATGCTTCTCAGTGCTCCAGTCTATCTTTAAAAAATACCATATTGTGGCCAATATATTTTGCCCAATTCATTTGTATTCTAAATTTAATAAATCTCTTTATTAAGAAATATTTCCCGAATCCCGTTAGTGACAAGAGGGATCGTGAGTAACGATCCAGGGTCCAAGAGGTTCGCCAATACCAATCATTTGACATATAGGTCGGGTCAACAGCTCTTCACAGGCGATTATATTGGAAATGAGATAGGTTGATAATGCCAAATTAGGGTCCAAATTATTTATAAAGCCTTGGTAACCTACTATTATACAGAATTATTTAAGAGCCTAGTTTAGTCCTTTTTACGCAATAAGCATTTTACTCTCCTATTTAGGCCACTAATTGCAATAGTTCCTAATTTATTACTTAATAATGTTTCCTGCTTAAGTCAAGTCAATTTAAGTCTTATATATAACATCAAATGGTACTAGGACCGCTCTTTAACAGACGAAGAGTAGAGTTTTGCTGAAAATCAGTATCGTAGCATAACTGTGCTGTAGCTTATGACGCAAGACTATATTATTAAGTAAGTAAAGTATTTTCTATCGATATTTCAAAACCTTTTGAAGAAATACGCACATGCTTATTTTAAATATAACACGAACAAATTATACGAAGAAAAATCAAACCTAGTAATGAATATGAAGATGACCTGTTACCCTGGAGACACAATTTTCCCAGTGAATTTAAAATGGTACATTCGAATTTTTACTTGCATTCTTTACATTTTCAATGCATCTCATCGCAATTCCATTGATCTGCTAAATGAAATATCTCGGAGTTTTATTCTCAAAGGAAAAGTTCGTGATAAAAAAACCACTTGGACTTTATTCAGAATTGGCACCGATAGCAAAAGTTTTAATAAGTTATAAGTACGTAACTTTTTCAACCATTTACCATCTTTTAAAAAAGCTTGTACTTTAAGACCTAGACTAAATTCTGTTTTTTAAAAGCGCTAATGTGAAATACTTTCTATAGTGCGGTAGTACCATTTAAATATAACACTGTATCGCTTTAAAACTCGATATATATTCAACTTGTTTGAACATTATTTTGACTACGGCCCGACGTTTCGGAGGCTTTGCAGCAGCCATGGACACGGGAACACCAAGCATCAGAAACGTCGGATCGTAGATAAAATAATTTTCAAATTTAACTAATATATATCGCGTTTTAAACCGTTAAATTGTTTTATTTAAAAGCACCGATGTGCCTTAGTATTTGTGTCACAAGCATTTAACAAAATCAAGCCATAAAACTTCGCCGGATAATATATTCAAGTTTAACTGTATTGTTGTCAAATGTTATGTCACAAACAGAGAAACGTGTGGGTTGAACTGTGAAAGGAAACGTTGGTATGACTTTGCGTGTTGATGCTACGAATAGCTACGAAATTGCTACGACGCTCGATAGCGTAGTACTCGTCGTAGCCATTGCCACGTTTACGATGATTAACCATTGGTGAAATGTAATATTAGCATTATTTCACAATTAAAAATCATTTATTATCCTACTTAAAATCACATACTTAACATCAAATCAATTCAATTCAATTGGGCTCAAATCTGATAAAAGCAATTTGAAATTTTGTCCAGCAATGAAGACCATTTATAAAATTTAACAACTAGAACAATACCCAAATGCCCCTATATAATGTGAACTTGATATTTTCAAGCTGCGACAGTTTTAAAATTAATAATTTACATATAACTTTTGTTGCCATTGATTATGTTTAACTATTATAATTGTTGACCTACATATACATGGAAACACAAGCTTTAACAAAGACGTAAAAACATTGTTACGTATTTAACTCGTATTAAATACTTTGCGTTTATCGTATGGTGCGTGTTAGATCATGATTAATAACTTGTCGTGAAAATAATTACTTAACTTCAGTAACATATCTCTATAATTCAGATTTCTATAATTTGGAAACCGTTTTGAAACGTTATTTTACTTGAAGATATAACCTTATAATCATGAAGAAATGAATTGTATTACATACGCGAAAAAAGCTTACTAACTAATATCAATTAAGTCTTATAATACAATTATTGACAGTTTAAATCACGAACTATATTAGTCGGTTTAACCAAGACTATTCAGAGAGAACTTAAATATGTTTCAGTTTGTTTTACAAGGCCATTAGTATGCCTAGTTTTTTCCACGTCTCGTGGCAAGTCGAAGCTTAAAAAAATATACGAAAATATTTTTTTTAATTTTCCCCAAAATACACCTTGTAAAAAGACTATTGTTAGTTCAGTATATTCTTAAGAGACGTCGCGTCAAGTCAGTCGGGTTCATTAACCGCAGGCTGTTATGAAACAATCCAAGTCGGCTTCGGAGTGCAACATCTGGCCCCATATTTGAACGATTGCCAAGCGCATTTCTCTTTTCACTGCCACTCTATCGTAATAATCTTTGAACCATTTGTTCGCACGTTGTGCCCAAATCCGGGACGCGCTTTTGTTGCTTGTCATTGTTTATTGGCGCTCGTTGACGCATATTGTTGAATCGTTATCGCAGTGCTTAGGTAATATTTTGTTGAACTGTTTTGTTACGCACGCGCAATTAATAACAACATTTTATGGATTCTCTTGTAATTAATACTAAGAGAGCCTTCCAATTAGTGTTAAGGTAACTTTGTGACATTTTGGCCGCACTCCAAACATTTCAATCAGAAATTCAAAAACCTTTATAGTTTTAGCCCTTAACTTCACTGGTGTTTCAAACACATATTAGATTTAGGTCCTCAATTTTATACTAAGTTTTGTTCCCCATCCTCTCCTTTTCAGATGTACAGTGAAGCGGTGTCGTTACTCAGTACCCATTACCATCCTCTGAAACTGAGTGTGCCTCCCACCACTGATTATTTTCATGTGGGATCCTACGCGAACCGCTAAGCTGCCTCCATTTAGGACATATAAATTTATACTAATTTGTCAGACACTTTTGGTTCATGTCGTCTATTACATATCTTTTTTTAATTAACCCAGTATAAAATATTTATTTATGTGTCTGAAGAGGTTTCTCGTTTCCCCACTGGTGTGCACATAACATACGATATGTGCAAACTAGTGATGTTTTATTTTTGTGACTTGACTCGACTTTTTCTTACAGAAAGTGCAATATATTTATTCAAATATATTATTTTTAATGCAAATATAACAAATCCGTCGAAGTACAAAGTAGTAGCAGTGTTAAATGAATAATAGAATTAATCTAAACAGTGTATGGTAAAGTGGAAAATATGAATTGAAAGTGTAACAATTACAATGACTTCCACGATAACTGTCAGTGCCACAGGAATGTTTTGTGTGAAAAGTGTTAAGTGTAAAAAGATATGGGATGACTCATAGTGAAGGATGTTTTATTCAACCCACCTTTCGACCACAAGATGATGCGCGAAATTCACGACACTGCTGGGGCAGGCGCAAGCGGCGCGATGGAGGAAAGCGAGGGAGGAGGGAGTGGGGGTGCCGCGGCCGATATGGACGAGTGCGGCTCCCTGTCATTACCTCCTGACCTGCCCCCTTACTCGGGCGATTACATAATCAGTGACTACATGGAGAGGCTCGGTACACGTCTCAACATTCTGGAAACCGAGCTGAAATACGCATGGAGAGCATTAGACCTTCTAAGCCAAGAATATGTTCGAATGTGGGATAGACTAGAGAGGCTCGAGTCATTGCTAGCCGATCAACAGGGTGTTATATCAACTCTTCTAGATTTTTATACTTGTCGAAGTGTAACATCTCGAGATCCCCTCTCTAGGTTAGAAGTAATAAGAGAAATACTCGGGAATGGAACTATAGAAGATGGAATTGAAGAAGGCTTAGATATTGCAAGTCGAAATGCCGTGCTCCTAGACCAGCAAGAAGAAGTAATGGAATCGAATGAAGCTTTTTATAGAAGCTTAAATCAAGCCTACAGAGATGATTACGTATATGAAGAAACCTCGAGACCTCCATCTCAGCTCGATATGATTTGGGAAGCGCCAGAAGAACCCGAACATGAAACGATACCATCAGCTTCCGGACAAATTTACAGTTCCAAAGACTATAAGAACTACTGCGGCATGCAAGGCGGGCCCAGTATAAGTGAAAGAGACTTAGTTCATATATCTACATTAAGTACAATAGATCAAATTACAGTAGATAAATTGCATGAATTAGATAGGCTGACAACGCAATTACACAAAGATTCAAGAGAATTAAAAGACTTAAAATCTAGACTCCTTAGTCCTGAAATAAAAATATCAACAAAACACGAAAGAGATATAGAGGCGAAAACGCTAGTTGAAGACGGCAATATAATAAATGAACAGTTAAAGAGCGTTTATCCGGGCGGCGACACTTGGGCTATAAATGATATGATGAAAAGTTTCGACGATTTTATGTTAACAACACCAAAAGAAACTATTGTCAAGGACAAATCTCCGTCTAGATTATCATTGACGGATAGTATAGCAGCAGATAGAACATTAGAGTATTTGCCTCCTACACTTTCACCAAGACGGAAATTTGTACCAGAAAGAACTTCCACGGAACCATATACTACTGTTACAGGGCGCTTAGCGTATAGTTCTGCTGTTGCTAATGCTGAAATTAATGCTGCAAAAGCTTGCAAGTCACCTAGCGCAATATCAAAAGATCGTTTTGATTACAGTTCTGACTACATAACTAATGATATAAGTCAAAACTACTACTCATCTAAAGCTACCCAACAGTCATTAACTGATACCTATAAACAAAATAAAGACCATTCACCACTTTCTATGCATGATATTTATGATGCTAATATTGACAACAGGCTGGATATGACTTTTGAAGATCGCATGCATAAATCTCCTAGTCCCCCACCCCCAGCGCCACCAAATGGAGCTGAAATTTTCGCTTCCATTGAAAACAACAACGAATTATTAACAAGACATCAAGCATTACTTTCAGCTGGAGTTCCCACAATGCACGCAGAAAGCTTGAAATTGAGCCCACGCTCACCTAAATCACCTAAAACATCCCCTAAACATTTAAAAAGAGATAGCGCAAACATAGTAACAGCTAAGTCAGACTCAGGTTTATCATCTATGAGCGGGTGGTCAAGTTTAGAAAAAAGTCCTGGCTCGCCGAAAACTGGTCGATTAAGTCATGGTCATGATGTACATAAAATACGTGTTCCATCTCCACAATTAGTGCAAAGAAATTCATATGAGGAATCAAAACCATACCTGGAAACTTTGGTTGATTCATATTTGTATGAGGACAAACAGTTTAAGAAAGATTACGTTTTACATAAAAATGAAACCTTCAAAGAACAAAAAAGTTTAGCAGATTTGAAGAAATTGCAAGAAAATATCGGTAACATGTTTCTAAAAAATGAAATTATGTTTCCAGTACCCAGTCAGACAACTCTGAGCAACATAGCAGAATATTACTATGGTAACGATGCGCCTTCTATATACTCTGTAGCAGGTAATAGGCAGCCCATTTTTACAACAGTATATAGCACACCAGGAGGTATGCTTTCTGAAGATAGGAATTTTTCCGAATTTATAGATAGAAATGAAATTTTAGATACAGATATAAAGCAAGCCCTTGATCCTTTTCCACCAGAACCAAGCTACCATGCACAAACTGTTGTTATGTCTGCGAATAACTTGAATAAAAAATCTCTTACTCGAACAAATACGATAAGCGGATCTGATTCTAACTTTCATCAAAACGGTTATAAAGCATCACGTTCTGGATATCCGCCTGGAAATATTACAGACGCACTTTCATATTATCCTACCTCAAGTAGATATGATTCACCAAAAAGGGCTCCATTGGAAGATCGTATGTCATGGCAAGGTGGCAGTCGATCTCCAACAAGTTCTGTAGAGACCTTGAGCTTAAAATCCCACTCCATGAGCATTTCTGAACGAAAACAATTCCAAAATCAATTGCAGCAAGAATATTTTAAGCAACAACAATATGACCAACGTAATGGAAATATAGTAACTGATGCGCAAAATCATGAACAAATAACAGATCATAAGATGAGGAAAGACCAATATAATATGGACTCTAGTGGAATTTTAGTTTCTGAATCTGGTTATTTATCTATTTCTTCAAATTTAAAAATGAAAAATTTAGATAAACAATGCAAAAAGCCAAAAAGAACTTCGTCTTTAAAATCTGCTATGACCTCCATGAGTCAGTGGTTGCCTGATTTACATTTACCTAAAAAGCATAGATCACACTCTCTTCCATCTGGCGTTGATACAGTAGAGCAACAGCAACAAGAAAAGACGCTGAAAGAAAGACTTTTATCAGCACAAAGAAGAAAGAAAAAGTATCATTTAGTTGCTTCAATGTCAGGTTTATTACAAAAAGCCCGGAGAAAGCAGCAAGCTAGTCATCAATCTTTATCAGATCCAGAAACATCTGAAACTGAGTGGTCCGGAGGGAGATCTAGTGCTCAATCAGAAGATAGCGATAGTGTTTTTTCAGACTCTATTCATGAAACAAATATGTTCTCAAAAGTTCCTCTTAAAACAAAACAACGAAAAATAAATACTCAAGAAAAGGTAGAACAACAACAAATGATACAAGAACTACAACAACAACAAGCTGAACTGCAAGGGGAGGCAGATGATGAGTGTATTTTAGAAGATAATGAAAGATATCCATCTGCAACAAATGGAATACCTCGTGATAAAAGTGACGATATTGATTTTCATTTCGCTCGAGTTAGTCAGATTAATAAAAATAACATACAAGAACTTGAAAAACTGGATATAGATACAGATATATCGAATGTTGACCCATTTGAAGATGAAAAGGAAGATACAGAATCTCCAGCTGCTATATTTGCTACAGTAGGCGATATGAAAAAATCTTCAATAACTTCAGAAGATTCTGCCAGCGACAATAACAAATCCTATAATGGAAGCTCTCAAGAATTTGCAGTATCTCGTGCTTTGGGTAAATATCGTTTACGTAAATCGTCATCAATAACAGATGATGTATCTGAAATATCTCCACCAAAAATTGAAACTAGTTTTACTGATGGCGTTAATGAAGAAGTTCAAAAACCAAAAGAAAAGAAACAGACCAAATCAAGCCCCCCTGAAATTATAAGAAATAGCTCAATAACTTCAGAAGATAATTCAATCTATACAGATCGTAGCCCATCATTACAAAGTTCAAGGGGTGTTCAAAATAAATTTCAGCCACGTCACCAACAAAGTCTTGATATTCCAAATAAACACGACGATGATGACAGTCGAAGTACGCATTCTTGGAGAAGTGGCTCTAGGGTATCATCTCGCAGACAAAGCACTGAAGATAGTATAGATTCAGAAGATGAATGGTATCGTTATGAATTAAGAAAGTTAGAAGAAATGGAACACCAATCCAGTCAACCGGAAACAGAGAGAGAACATCTGTTATTTGAGGAACCGGTAATCGAAGAAGAGCCTTGTGAAATATTGAAAGAAAAAATGTCCTATGTATTACGAGAGTTGAAATTAAAAACAGCTCCTATAAAAATAAAATATGACGAAGCCAAGACAGAGGAGACATGGAAAGACGTCACGACATTTCATGATATGGACGAAAAAATGGCGGACTCTATGTCCCAAAAAGATTCTGATGACGATAGATCATATGCTGACTCTGGTTCTGGAGAAACATCTGGACCCGACAGCCCCGTTCAAAGTGGTGACGAGTTCGAGGAGGATGAAATGCCTCCAATTCCGCAGGACAGTTTCGGCATCAGAACCAACCCCATCACAGGACGCTCCATCTGGCAGTAAATGGAAATTATTGAAAGCTCTTAAGGATAGAAAAGCCGAAGAAAAAACGACAGAGACGCCAGCTGCCACGACACCGTCAACGGAGAAGGACAAAGTTAGCGCAGGTGTAAGTTACTTAATGCAAAAGTTTCACGAAATTAGAGTTAAAAGTTAATACCGATGTTCATCGTATAAGGCTTAAGTACATGTGTAGGAAGTACTATCGCTCTTATATTTATTTAGCTCTATAACAAACGCTGTATTAGTAGAGATATTTATAAAAATACATTAATAAGTAAATTATAAAATGCTAAAAATAAGAAGCTTAATTATGGCACTGACAATCATCGCTCTAATACCTACCTTTTCCACCAGGGTTATATTCCCCGAATGTATTGACACAAAGGTTGTGAATACTTATATATTACTCAACCTTTTAATATACAAACAACTTTCAGTATACAAGTCTGTCAACACTTTTATAAATTATATATACCTTTAAACTATGGTATTACTTTATACAATACAAGTGCTATTTAAACTTACATTTTTATATAATGTTCTCTTATAGTATTATTGTAATTAAGACGTACAATTGAAAAATAATGATTTACTGTTTCTATGAGGCAATAACTAATTCTAATGACACTAGCCATTAAATTATAATGATGATTGTTTTTTTTTATAAAAATGGTAGTAACATGATATTATTGAAGTATATTGTTAATTTTTAATAACTACACTTAGGTCTTGTTGCGCGTCAAATATTATAAATTATGATTAGCATTTACGCTTAGTTTTAATTATAATTTAGCTTAGCATCAATATAATTATAACATGCGCCAAGCGCTTTAGGGAGATGCAAATCATTGAGGTACAAAATCATTCATCTTCATATCATGCCATATCGTGAAAGCCTATTTACAACTAAATAAATGACAAATATATTTGACTTTATATAAAGGAACTCGAAAATATCGGGCGGGTCTCAAAAAGTAGTATATACATCGAGTCATTCATGGTAACATAAGTGTCATGTTATGTTTACGTATTTTAGATTAGGGCTTACGAAAATAAGTACGACTATTTTGTGTAGATCACCATTGTCGTAAATATTAGCTGGCACTTAATTTAATAGAAGAATTAGGCGTTCACAGTCAATACGAATATAGTAAAATTTATAAGCTTACGATGTTCGACGTGTATACATTTATAAACATGGGTTTCAATGTACTCGAACCCGCTTCGCCAAGACATTGTGTAAAGTCCTCTATTATCTATGGCTGTCGCTTTGAAATTAAATAAACAATTCGTATGTTGATTTTCGTAGGGACACTAATACCGTATGTTCGGCAACACGACGTACTCTGTACGACGGGTTTAAACTCTGCAGAAGCGTTTTATTTCAGCGCAATTTAGTCAGTCTTTTTGAATCTTTATTATGAAATTAAGCAGAAACTAATGTTAACGTAAATTGATTTTATACATAGCTTTTAATTCTACTTAATGCTTTTACATTTAAAACAATTATATGATGATTTCTTGATGACTAACTATGAATCTATACTTCTATAGTAATATACAAAGTTGAACAGTTTGTTTGAACGCGCTAATCTCAGAAACTATCAGTTCGTTTGAAATTGAAAAATTATTTTTATGTTGGTTAGAATATTTAACGAGAAAGGTGCGATAAACATCGCGCAGTAACTAATACAAGCGGGAAATGTAAACAAAACGGGTGAATTTTATGTCTGTGGGTTTCAGATGCTGCAGATCAAAGAATGATTCCTCTTTAATTGATCTAAAAAAATGTCCGCAACCCTATATATCTATCTTTTAAGATTAACTTGCAAGAACGGCGGGACCCGAAAGGGGAAGCAAAAACAAATTTGGATGCCCATACTATTCTACGCAGACGAAGTCGCTGACACAGATATATAATTATTATTTTTGCAACCGACGGTTATAAACTATAGGAATACTGAACAGCGTACATGGTGTAACCGAATAACGAATATTAGTGCCATCTATATTTCACGTTAAATGCAATCTTATTATTACTAATACAAAGACAATAGGAAATTATACTTAGATTAAATTGTAGTTCGTTGTTGTAAAATATTAATTCTCCATTTCTAAGTTATTGTAATATGTTATTTACTTGTATTAATAATCATGTTGATTCTTATAAGTTCTATTCTATTTTTACAAACTATAAATGTGCATTCTAGCTCGTCACTAACCCAGAATATAGACAATATTATAAGAATCAACACAATATATTGTTAATATTTTTTATTAAATAAATCTTAGCTTTAGGTTTTTATATGTTTTTTTTTATTTATTTTATTTTTTATTTCTAGAATGGCACTGGTGGATTCAACGAACAAGGCGGTCGTGGAAATGGGTATGTCAAATGTTGTGTTCAAATCAAATTTTGTAAAGATACAATGGGTCTTAAAATGGTTGAAAATGTACAACTGATTTATTCGAAACGTCAGGTCGTATTAAAAAAATCACGTTCGCGTTGTAACCTGTTTAAATCATTTTTTTTTCTCATTTGTTTTAATTCGAATTTCGATTTTTTAATATTTCCGTTGTATTCTAGGCACCCCGGAGATAATCCGTTCTACAGCAACATTGATAGTATGCCCGACATTAGACCGAGAAGGAAATCCATACCACTTGTTTCCGAACTTGTAAGTAAATGTTTTCTAATAATATCTATAAAACGAACCAAACATGGACTAGTGAGGCTGTGATTTTCTATAAACACCGTACGCCGTGCTAAGTGTAACGCGTTACGCGAGCTTATACTTAAATTCTATTGGTGGTCTATGCGTAGAAGACATCTTGTTTTCAATATTCACATCCTCGGGAGCACTAGCCGATGCGACGGCGACGAAAACAAATGTATAAAAAAATTTAAGCAAGCCGCGACACACAGTGGTTGAAGTAAACAATAAGATAAACAAAAGCATGCATCAATATAGAGACAGAAGAGAAACAGAGCGAATAATAGCTTCAGCCATAGCGACAAGCAATGGTCGTGTCGTAAATACCATGAAATGATTTAACATTGTTCGTCTGTCTGTTTGTCGTGATTCTACAGAGTGTTTAAAGAGCAACATAACTGAGAAGAACACCCAAGAAACTCAGCCCGGCTTTTTTAACATGTCTTATAAGCTAATAAAGGAGCAATTCATATTACTACCAGGCGGTCTTGTCATTAAAGAAATCTATCTTTTAATATATCTATTATAATAATTGTAAGCGGCGTAACGCATCGCGCTGTACTCGACCGGCGTTTATATAAGACCACAGCCTTATTTTTATTATTCAGCCGGTTTCAAAAGGTATTTGAAACTGACTATCGATGTACATGGCTCACGTCGACGTTAGCTTCCTAATGCTTAGTAACATTAGGCGCGTAATGGATGTTTACTTCAGGAATCAAACCTTCTTATGTGTATTCTGTTTTATGGTCATGGGATTACGTACTAATTCTTGTCGCACCTATTGTAGTAAAACACAGATGTCATTGTACTAAAAAGATAGGATATACTAGTTTTGGAGGAAAGGTTGACACATAAATAACAGACATTACACACATTTTATCAAGATGAAGAAGATTTAACAGATATTTGCATTATACGAAATATTACATTTTTAAATACACAATATTGATAACATAGTTTATTATTTACTTGTACGTGCGTGAAATTCTCTTTATTATTTATTGTACGTATTAAAATTGCTCAAACCATTTTTACTTTAAAGTCAGCTTGACGACTCAACTTTTGACAGTTGTTGCGTTCATAACTCCAATTATATATAATTAATAATAATTATAATAAACTATTGTTTATTTTGTGGTGACGAACATTTGAATGAAAGTAAAGTTGTACTCCCATGATCTGTCTAATGTACTTACATTATTTTTGTTATCAATCTGAGACTTCAAACCTTTTTCTTTGGTGTATCAATGTGATTCTTATGTGACTTTCCGCCCTATCTAACACACCTGTACGGGTGATCGTGTAATTAATGTTCTAGAGAGCCTATCGCCACTTTATCCGGATTGAATATTTAGCGGTCACCTAAAGATATGTAGATACGAAACTAATTACCCTGATTAAAATAATGGTATTATTGCATTTTATCCCCAACCACGGACCTGCAGGTTCTCAAGGTATATCTCCCGACAAATTTTCTTATATCTGCATGCAGTTCTGATATTAATGGCTTTGAATGCAGAATCGACCCGCTGTTGCGTCAAATATACAAATTTAGGCATTTTACAATTTCCCTTTAATTTGAGCAACATACGGTTGGTTCGACAATTCGTATTCTTATAATTGAATGGCGTATCGCTTGCTTTGCCCAATGCATGTTATCAAGTTGATGTTGTGCCTATTTTCAGATTAAAATAAATTTATTTCCACATGATAATTATTGAAGAGAGTACTTCTGTTATGCACGGTTTGATACGAAATAATTCAATATAAACTTGAATTATTCTTAGTATAGTTATATTTCGTTCGACATTGTTTACTTTAGGTATTTTCGAGAAGCACGTTTTCGTCAGTATTATGACATTATCGTTAGCTAAAAGTTCACCTTTGATATGTTTACTCACGATGAATATTATTTTATCAATCTGACAATAATTTGAATGTTTGAACTAAAAGGGCTTAAAAATAGCTTTTAGGCATGCGTACATAGTAATAATAAGTTAACTATGTCATACTAAAGCTTTATTCTTATACAGACAATGGCTGCGACTAAGAGGAACGCTGGATTGACATCAGCTGTGCATCGAGCGACTTTGAACGACGAGGAACTAGTAAGTCTAATTGATATATTACCATACTTTTTCTTCCTCATGAAATTGTAAATACTGTCTGTAGTTTAAGCGAGTAGTACACATTTAATTAAAATATTAATGGTTTAAAACGCGATATATATTAGTTAGATTTGATTTAAAATTATTGTAAGACCCGACGTTTGGGATGCTTTGCAGCAGTCGTGGGGGAGAGTCTTTCCGTTATTATGGCTGCTGCAAAGTTTAACTTATATATATCGCGTTTTAAACTGTTAAAGTGTTGTATTTAAATCATACATTTTTTAACAAGTATCATGAATTTTTTGTTTTTTATATTAATTATTGATATTGTATGAAATCCACTTACTACTGTATAAGTAACCTACATTTTATCATAGGCTTATTCATAAAATACAATAATTACACGCTTTACAAAACTGTATGGTGACATCAAAAGTAATGATCGGTCTTTCGTAACGACTTCTTTGCAGAAGATGCACGTCTATAAGAAGACGTTACAAGCGCTTATCTATCCCATATCATCAACCACGCCTCACAACTTCGTTCTTTGGACGGCGACTTCACCAACATACTGCTATGAATGTGAGGGCCTACTTTGGGGAATTGCTAGGCAAGGTGTCAGGTGTACAGAATGCGGTGTCAAGTGTCACGAAAAGTGTAAAGATCTACTCAACGCCGACTGCTTACAGAGTAAGTTTTGTTATTTAACGTTCCACCTACATCTATTCTTAGCATACATTTTGTGTACGAATTTAATGAGCAAGTTATATATATTTCTTAATCAATAAAATTACTAAATTGAAGTTTTAAAAAGCAAACGATATTTATATCGAGTAAAGGTAAGTGTTTTTCACCGAACAAGTTCATTAGGCATTATTATCGGTCAATTAAATCATAAAACCTAACACACAAATGAAATAGCTCACGCATTTCAAAGCATGGAGGGCTATCATTATACCATAATATTGAGAAGAGAAAACCAATAAATTCACGTAGATAATGTTTGGTGGGAGCTGCGAAGCGCTCTCCCTTATTAAACTCAAGTAGTGTCAAGTCGTTCTCACAGAGGTCACATTGTGGCAAGCTCGTTGTACAGCTATAGCTATACATTATTCACTGGTAAAAACGGTGACACAAACTTGTTTGAAGCTTTGAAATTTCGTCCTCTTGATGTTGTTTCTGTGTGTCAACATTGTGTTTTTTACTTTGATTTTTAAAGCCAACTGCGTTCAAAGGTAGGTAATGAGTTAATGAAATAGTAATATGATACTTTAGGCTCATGGTGTGCATGATTAGGTTGCATGTACTTCGCGGGTGTTATCGTAACGGAAATCGCCTTTTCGTTGACGACGTTCTGAGGCAGGAAGACTTCGTATTGGTTTTAACGGCTGGTGTTTTTTTCTATCAGTGTTGTATTTTATTTTCTATGTCTTCTTCCTTTCTCTTTTGTCAGACCTCATATAATAGCATGACCCTTCAAATCGGTGTCGCTTCATCGGTATGCATGGCTATCGATCTACGGTTAACACTGTTTTCAAAATTATTCCCTGTTGTTGTAATTATGAATTTGTGCACAATCATCGAGGCGGGCAGTCGGATACAAGAGATTAACGGTGAATTTTCTATATCAACTACTCGACTGCACGTCACCGTCATTATAGTTATATAGTCTACACTTTAAAAGCATTATTTATTTATTTGAAAGCACATGATACAGACATAATCTATCTCAGCATAGACATACCACATAACACGTTCACACATTAATTATAAACAATCATAGTAGTTTAGAGATGTTTTTGAAGTGTAGATCTTTATCATGTAGATAGGGACCCGGTCCTCTCCCTCGGGTGCCCCGCCCAACGCCGATACTATCAACATCCTGGAACGGAATCAAAATATCTATACCCTACTCTACACTGCGTTTAACACTCTTAACGGAATTGGCTAGACGCTTCAAATACACCAGAGCCCTAATAAAATGGACTAAACAACTTGAATGTTAGTATTGTGTGCACGCAATCCACAACCTATCCACTTTATATTATATGTGGTCTTTAATGTTTACGTTATAGTTTCCGCGTCTTTATTTCACTGTCTCTTCTTTTATTATTTGATACTTTAGATTCTACATTATTTTGAAGCAGCTCAATCAAAAAGAAAACACGGATAATAGACAAACAAGACAAAATACAAATACAGTGCAAATTAAAGGGTATTTGAAATGAAATTTATTTTTTATTCCTTTGAAACAATAGTAATAAAGCGTTGAATTGGAGGCGTCGTTCTCAGGTTTGCTTCGGCCGGCGCCGCTCGTGGTCAACGACCTGATCAGACCCAGCGATCAGAGAACGAGTGTTAAGTTCCGAGTTGGAGTCTGATTAGGTTGTGCCCAACGAGTGGTCGTGGCAGGCCTGACTGCGGGGCGGGGAGCCCCTCCCCGGCGCATCCGCGGCAAAAAGAACTGTTTTTGCACCGCCTGAGCAGTGTGTTTCGCAGGGGCGGCGGAAAAGTCCTCGAAGCACGGCGCCGAGGATAAAGCCAACTCCATCATCACGGCGATGAAGGAACGGATGAAACAACGCGAGCGCGACAAACCGGAGATCTTCGAGCTGATCAGGTAATATTACGTTTTGTTCACTCCGCTCGTTTGCCACTCACTAATTTTCTAATTTTAGATTTCATCCGCTATAATTGGAGTTATGGTTTGATATTCGATAATTTAAGTCGAGAGACGCTATAATACTCTCTAGAAGTAATTCACACGTTTGTGTATGTAACAGACGCGTGTTCAGCATGGAGTCAGAGGGCCATTCGACGCACATGAATACGGTGAAGCAGTCCGTCCTCGACGGTACATCAAAGTGGAGCGCCAAGATCGCCATCACAGGTTGGGAGTTGTGTCGTGACTAACCAACTTTGATCCCAACAGAGGGCGGCACGGAAGCGGAGCGTCGACGATCCAGAACACAGACACATCACAGACACGACACTAAATTGCCTTGTCTTTCGTTTCATGTGGTGCCCAGGCGGACTTTCAACGTCGATCCCGACACTCACATAGACAACCTAGAGCAGGCTGAGCAAATTACTATTGAAGGGACTTCAAAGTGGTCCTGCAAAATCGCGATTACAGGTTTGCAGTGGTCTTTTGCGGCTGCGGACCGCGTGCTCGCATTTGATCTATTAGACTGAATCTTCGCCTGATTTCTCTTTACCACTTTCATATCTGCTCAAGTTCCGTTACATAGTGTGTCAAAAAATTTAATATTTTTCACTTTAACAACTTTAAGATTGAAAAAAAAAAATTACGATATGGACAAAACTTGAATCGGCACCTACAACATTTAAAATCAATTTAATTTGAAATAATAGATTAGACTAACAATTAAAGCTCATTCAACGATCTAAACGTGAAATAAAAGAGTTAATTTATTTTAAATAAGACCCGGCGTTCCTAATGCTTTGCAGCTATGGTTATTACGGTGGGCGTTTTTAAAAGTCAAATGTGCTACGCTAACGCCATCTGCTTACATGTAGTTGATACTTGTGGAAGCTTTCTGGGTTTTTACTGAACTGGTTAATAATAAAATAAATTATCTAATATACTTAGCGTTCCGATTATTGTGTTCTACTCAAGAATAGAGAAATGAGTTTTAGTGACATAAGGCTTGAGCAGATATCAAGTACATTCTCTGCAACTTTACCTAACCCAATCCATTCACGGTTAATAGCGCACCGCCAATCACTTTGATAAAACGTAGCTCATTCAGTATTCTCATTGACATGAGGAAATTCCACGAATCGACACCATCTCTTAAACCTGAACGACACGGTTTGAATACTTTAACACATGCAAATTCTTAACGCCACTTTATCAACGTGAACACGATATTGACACAGGCAAACTCTGCATGTACACATTTTAAATTACTAATAAGTATTTTGATGATAAATATACTATAGGTACTTCGCTAAATAGAGAATAAACTTGACATGAACGAGTACTAATGATCGTAGGTGAATGCGAGTTTTTAATTAGCAATATAGCATGACTGATAATGAGATCCCAACCCTACTGTCTCTCTTGCTATACTTCTATCTACTTCTATTTTGGATTCGTGAAAATTCCCACCGAAATTAGTTCTCATCCCCGAGCATTTCCCTTCGAGTTTCGGCAGAGTTCCCATTAGCATCTGCGATTATGTAGTCGCTATGTTTCGAGTTGTTTTAGATTTCGAGTTTGGGCATATCTAGTTGAAAGTTTTGTTAGATTATGAAGTTAGAGTCTTTAACACCGACTCATCCTGATCATGGGGTCACCTGATTCCGGCAGGTACATTGACGGTACAAGGTAAGTTATCATTATAACTTTAACATTGGTGAAGCATTTGAAAGTGTAGGTGTAAGAGGCCTAGTACAAAAATTGATTTGCTAAGTATAAAAATTTGCTTTTATAATTAGCCGCTAAGCTCAGTAAATTCATATTTAGGTACCGTACATAGTAATAAACAGAATTTACTAATTATCATTTCAATGCATTTAAAAATAGTTATATAATTTGTATAGAATTTAACATATTTTAAATTGGCCCTTCCTGGGCAGTTATTTGCGCCCAAGGTTTGATCGCGAAGGATAAGAGTGGTACCTCGGATCCCTACGTTACCGTCCAAGTTAGCAAAGTAAAGAAAAGAACAAGAACAATGCCGCAAGAGTTAAACCCCGTATGGAATGAAAAATTTTACTTGTAAGTATTTTTGTCAATTATTTCATTTATAGTATGTATTTTAACATGTTCCATAGACTTACGTCCGTGGTTTTTCCTAATTTAAGTTTGTAAATAAATTAGTTACATAGGTATGGTATACAAAATATTTTTATATACTTTTTTTAATTAATCAAACACCCACTATCATTCAAACCAGAAAAGTATTTTCAGCCCAATACCTAATATAAATTGCACTGCTTGATGTAAGAAAATCTTTAAATATGTTTAAAATGACTCAAGTACTTAAAAACTCAATAATATGATGTAAATAAGTATTTGAAATTAACCATCACTTTTTTAATTTCAATAGCGAATGCCACAACTCATCCGACCGAATTAAAGTCCGCGTTTGGGATGAAGACAATGATTTAAAATCAAAACTCCGCCAGAAATTAACAAGGGAGTCCGACGATTTCCTGGGACAAACGATAATAGAGGTAAATAATTTGTATGCTAATTTTTCAATTCTGCAAGCTATTAAGTGTAAGCAATTAAATAACTTTTCCATTTGGGCTCAAAAGTTTATAGAAAATTCAGGAGCCGTCAAAACTTTATCCCAATATGGGACGCGCTTTGGATTCGTAACAGGGAGGTTTTAGAAGATTTTTTTCTTTACGTATCATATATATAGTACGGGGTCCCCGTATTATTTATTCAATTAGTTTTAAATGACTCTTGAGAAAGTACAGAGGGCATGGCTTGCCTTTCAAAATTAGCTGCAATCAAAATTTGTATTTTGATTGTCAACGTGGTGTCGCTGTGCAGTTTCTACAAAAATTTGGGTTCATAAAACCCATAGCAACCCCAGTTTGCGGCCATTTCAAAACCGCCGACCAGATACGCTAATTATTATGAACGATATTTTAAATAGAAAAAAAACGATGTGAAGATTAAATACTGTCTGTAGTTTACGCGGGGGAATAAAAAATAAAAAAAAAAATTTTTTTTTTTTTTTAATTTTTTTTTTTTTTTTTTTTTTTTTTTTTTTTTTTTTTTTTTTTTTTTCTTCCCCCCCCCCCCGATCTTAACTAAAATATGTCGCGTTTTAAACCGTTAAAGTGTTTGAATTAAATGGATGTAGACTTTCAAGAGAAACATATAACATAATATTTCATTTTGATATATTTTTAAATGGGGTAAAATCTATTCAAGAAACATATAGCTCCAAAATTAAGTTGGTGCGTAAAAAAAACTACAGATAGTTTAATTTAATTGCGGCTAATTTTGAATAGTCTTTCAACTCTATATATCCCTGTATACAGATCCCTGCAGGAATGAGCGTTGGGATCCATGTATAGCAACGCTTTAACAAAAATAACATTTTAATGTCTTTTGTCTTTAAATGTATTTTTATTGACCCTACTGCATACGTAAAAATTAAAATATAATTTATATATTAATAAGTATTGAGCGAACTTCTAGTAAATATGGAAAGGCCAAGTTAAAACATTTCACTATGTTACGATTTTCAACAATAATAACTTAACAGGTGCGAACATTATCCGGTGAGATGGACGTGTGGTACAACTTGGAAAAACGAACAGATAAATCTGCCGTATCAGGCGCCATTAGACTTCATATCAACGTGGAAATTAAAGGGGAGGAAAAAGTGGCGCCGTATCATGTTCAGGTAAGTACAGCCATTTTTTATATCCTGTGTATTTTTTCTGTTACTTAGGAGTGTCTATCTTACGCCATGAATGTATTCTATGTATATTATAATAATGGTTACTTTTTTAAGACTTTAACTGGGTTGAACTAAATTACTTTGTCTGATTATCATTAGGTGATGAGTTCAAAACTATTTCTCTGAAATTATTTTTTATCCTGAAAATTTTGATAAAAATACCTTTTACAAGAAAAGCCCTGAAGTGAAAATCTAGGCTTTGGTTTCGGTTTGTGAATTTACTATTATCTATAGCCAAGACAGGTCGACCACGCATCTTATTTACTTGTTTTAAATCTGGAGTACTATTATTATATACCTACTAGCTGTACCAGCGACTTCGTCTCCGAGAGAATCGTTATTTTGGGCATCCAAATTAGTTTTTGTAAACCCGTCATCTTTATAAAATTAAGCTGTTAGCCACGACGTCGAATATTCTCCTTCCCGTCGTTCTTGCAAGTAAATCTTAAAATAGTCGCTTCTTTTAGGTAACTTAAAGATGAATGATTAATTCGTATACTTTTTGGGTTTTTTGAACCGTTTTCCCCGCCTACAGGAAACTAGAAAAAATTCCCCGTTTTGATACTTTGCGTGTACTTTGTTCTATTATTCATAGGGCAATGTTTTATAGCCTATAGCCTTCCTCGATAAATGCTCTAACCAACACAAAAAAAAATTCAATTCGAACCAGTAGTTTCTTAGATTAGTGCGTTCAAACAAACAAACAAAATCTTCAGCTTCATGTTTATATTAGTATAGATTAATAACAAGTCCTCAGTCAGAAAAGGAATGAATAGACAAAATTTGATAACACATTTTTTTACAATAAATATCCAATGAAAACACAATATACATAAATTCGATAGAATAATTTGATGTATTGTCAGCCGAAACATAATTTAAAAGACAAATGGCGTGCATATTTTTTGAACATAAACAAATCGTTACCCTTTTGTCTTTATAAACGATGTTACGCATGATTTAGCGTTCTGTCACTACAGTAAAAGCAAATAAAAGGATGACCTTTTCAGCCTTATTTACCACACTATATTCTCAGCGCCACAAGGTACTTTAAAATAACATCTTTTACTTATAAAGTATTGTTAGGGTCCTAAATAATTTATGTGTAAAGGCACACACTCTCTAATGGAATATAGTAAAAATTTAATTCTTCATATTCTTTAGCTTAGCCTTTAGTTTTTAAAAGACACGAAAAATAAGTGCAAGTGTTTTTGGAATTTAATTGGGACTACAAAAAAAAAAATTATTTTTTAATGGCAAAGAAAGCACGACAACCATAGCCACTTGATGACTCTATAACTTTTAAGCAAAGTCCACTGGCGTATATTTTTGGTTTTGGACATCCGGAATCTACATACTATCGACGTAACGCAGATTTACATATCACGGCTTATTTTTCTGGACCTGGATTTAGATATTCCAACTGCCCATTTTACTTTCAGATTTTCCAAAGTCCAACGCGTTTTAGAACTATGTTAGGCCCGGTTGGAGTTGAATCAGAACTTCTCACGATTACGAATTAATTACTAGTTGTAGCTTCTCTATACTATTATATAAAGCTGAAGAGTTTTGTTTGTATGTTTGAACGCGCTAATCTAGGGATTACTGGTTTGGATTAAAAAATTCTTCTGTGTTGGTTAGAGCATTTATCGAGGAAGGTTATAGGCTAGAAAACATCGCACTGTGACTATAAAGAGCAAAAAAACGTCGGAAATGTAAAAAAAAACGGGTTAAAATATCATCTCTGTGAGCTTCCGAACGTTCGAGGACCCCAAAGAAATATGTATGAAAGAATGATTCCTTTATATTATAATTAACTTGCAATAACTACGGGAAGCGACCCATGTCATAGATAACAGCTTTAATTTGTAAAGACGAACAGAAGGAAGATCAAATTTAGATGACAAAAATAACTACTCTACGCGGACGAAGCCGCTGACAGAGCTAGTATATCAATAGTTGTACAGGACATTAAAACATTATTCTACAATCACAAAAATATTTTAGATAAAAGTCAAGTGTCAATTTACAAAGACAAAAGCTCAGATATATCTTAGGTGCTATTTATAAGTTTAAACCGCAAACATGAAAATAAACAAAAAAATTAACAACATAAGTCGCCTCAACAGGTGGTTTATAATATTGGCAACCGTCCGCCTGGCCTAAAGCCAACACTCGTATTGCCTTCCCGCATAATTAGTAAATAACAACCAGTTAACTATGTGTCAATCTTGGTACGGATCTTTGAAATTCAATTTGTGCATTTTTTAAAGCGGCTTGGGAAGCAAATAAATCATACTTTTGGTTGGCAATTGTTTTTAAATTCCCGGCGGCCCCGGGGCCCCCCCTTTTTTTTTTTTGGGGCCCTTTTTTTTTTTTTTTAAAAAACCCCCCCCCCCTTTTTTTTTTTTTTTTTTTCCCCCCCGGGGGCCCCCCCCCTCTTTTTTTTTTTTTTTTTTTTTTTTTTTTTTGGGGGGTTTTTTTTTTTTTTTTTTCTTTTTTTTTTTTTTTCCCCCCCCCCCCCCCCTTTTTTTTTTTTTTTTTTTTTTTTTTTTTTTTTTTTTTTTTTTTTTTTTCTTTTTTTTTTTTTTTTTTTTTTTTTTTTTTTTTTTTTTTTTTTTTTTTTTTTTTTTTTTTTTTTTTTTTTTTTTTTTTTTTTTTTTTTTTTTTTTTTTTTTTTTTTTTTTTTTTTTTCCCCTCTGGTTTATAAATTACTGTAGTTTCTGATTTACATCTTCGCAATGTCCATTTTTATTTTGTTTAGATACTTCGAACACTTTAAAACGAGATAAATTCGTTTTTTTGTAACTAATTTGTGCGTTGTGATCTGTTTGGGTTTTTTATTATACCGGATGTTGAACATTTTTAGGCCGGCCAACTAAAATTTTTGTCTACTGAAAAGTATTGTCTGTATTAAAAAATTGTCTAATTCAACTTCGACAAAACAGATGGTGCTAACGGATAACGTTGTTATTAGATACATCCTCTATCGTGACCACGGCAGCTACATAGCATTCGAGACGTTGGGCCGTAGTTCAAATAACTTCTTAAATATTTCTAGTTTCGAACCGTTAAAATTATTTTATTAAAATTTTGTGTTTTCTATATTTCCATTGCTCCGCGTGCCATTCAGGAAATGCCTTCTTGTAGATTCTGAAACGCCTTTCTCCTATAGAGACTTATATACCACATTAAACTATTATTTTGAAGGATACAAAGCAATTTTAAACAGAGCAAAGTTTCTTGTTTTAGCGTGGGAACAAATCCAATGTTATTAAAACTTGGGAGCGGCTTACGGCTGAGGTTTTAAAAGTTTGTTCAGATCTGTTGCATGCGGTGGACTGAAAAGTATTATTCAGCAAATAGCCGACCGCATTTCATACAAATATATAATAGTTTTTGTTTATATTATTTCAAACAATGGGTCCTTCATTATATCCATTTGTAGAAATAAATATGACAGATTATTGTCAAATAACACATTTATGTCTACTTGTATATATTTTATGTCGTATTTCATAGCAACGTTGTCGTTACATTTAAATAGATAATCGTCACACAAATAATATTAAGACATTTTTAGATTAATCTTGGATTATGTATTTTGTTGTTGTCTTTAAAATAAAGAAATAAATAATCAAATATGTTCGATTGGAGCATAATAATTTGAAAACATTTACTGAGTTTTCCTAATTGTAAGTTGTAAATTGTTACTTAATTGAAATATTTTATTAATATTAAACACAATAGAATCTTATAGTGAAATCCCGATACCCCCCGTGGGGCATGGGGCGATCACATTTCTGTGTCCGTTTCACTGATCGGCTTTACAGATCAGTAGCTTAATTGGTTAGAGCAACAGCACGGAACGTTGCGGATGTCGGTTCAATTCTGAACGAGTCGTAATTTTTTTTAATTTATAATAGAATTTATATTTAATCGGTTTTGTACAGGCAAGTAGTTTATCAGATTTCTGTGCTGTGCCCGATCGAAACGATGTATTGTTTCTCCGGGATTCAAACGCAGTTAGTTACGCAGTGTTAGACTACACGTTTAACCATTTAGCTACAGATGGGGTCGTAGATACTTTACACTTTAACAGTAAACGAAATGAATCGCCTTTTTTAAAGTTCTTCCAATTTGCTTTTTTGAAAAACGGTGAGAGAGCACATAATCCAATTAGGCCACTTGAAAAGTTAAGAAAATTAGTTTTAATAGTTTCTTCATACTTTGCTCTCACAATTATTTCTAATGAAATGCAACACGCTGCTCTTTGCTCAAGAAGTAACTTTGAATCCATTTACATTTGCCCTTTATATTTCTACTTACAAATGAAGCCGCTAGAGGCAGAGTAGCCTAACTGCAATTGTATGTCTAAAGTTATTTTAATAGTCTAAAAATGTTAATCTACAAGAGCACATAGTACAAATTCATTTTCGTCCAAGTTAATAACGAATTTTTTATATTGCTCCTTATTGAAAATTATGTTTTTTGTTATTAGGCCACTCTGCCTCTAGAAGCCTCAAATAAACTTTAAATTTCAGTATCACATTAAAAATAGCGTAGTGAAAATGTGAAATCCCGTTTCCTCCTCGTGGGGCATGGGGCGAACACATTTCTGAGTCCGTTTCACTGATCCGTTCTTTAACAGGCAAGTAGTTGATGAGATTTCTGTGCCCTGCCCGACCCAAAACAATATTTTGTTTCCCTGGGATTCGAACCACCTCTTGCGCTTAAGGCAATGCGTTCAACCATTTGGCTACAGAGGCTGTCAAAAATTAAAAATTGCGTATTTATACTTGTTAAGTATGGATATACATCTTTTTATGACACAAAGTGAAAACAAAATATATATTGCAAATTCCTCACATCCCTACATAGGCAAAAGAAATATGTCCTTTCGTATAAACTTTTATTGGTCTGATCGAATTTGTCACTCGTAT